ATCAAGAAAAATTAAAAATGAACTATTCATAAAAGGAAAAGACAGAGACTGCAAGTCCCCTGCATGAAATTTCCTCTTGAGGCTCTGCCAAATCAACGAGGCACCCATTGCTGCTCTGCAGTACAATGGGCTTTCTTCATGCATAGGGTCTCCTGCTACTCTGTGTTGTTGCAATGTATTTCTTATCAGAGCCATCATAGCACCTGCCACAACTGGTGAGCTTGAACCACCGGCCTTGTAGTTCTGGCGCATTAACCCACAGTGCCACACCAGGACTAGTACTACATTAAATGATGAAATCAGATGGCTTTGGTCATAAACCATTTGCCAATACTATGTGACAGTATGGTCAAAATTCTTATTATTGCTACTTTTTCTTTTCTTGCATATTCCTAAGAATGGAAACAACACAAATATCCTCATTTTAATTCCACAAAAAAGTAGACTTTTATACTGCACATGTCTCCTGCGACACGTTCATGTTCCCCACGTATTAAAAATCTACCCTTGTTGTTGTTGTTGTTAAGTACCGTGGAGTCGGTTCCAACTCATAGTGACCCTACACAGGGTTTCTGAGAATGCAAATTTTTACGGGAGCAGAAAGCTTCATCTTTCTCCCAAGGAACAGCTGGTAGTTTTGAATTGCTGACCTTAAGGTTAGCAGCCGATTCATAACCACTACACTACCAGAGCTCCTTATTAAAAATCTACCCTTAAGAAACACAAAGTCAGCAATTTCTCACTTTTATTTTACTAAAATCTACATCTTAGGACTTATTTGGGGTCTTTAAACTTTTTTTCTTTTTCCTGTTCTTAGCTCTTTCAGATTTTTAAGTGAAATTTAATATGGATTATGATTAAAAGGGGAAAAATTAGAACACTACATGAAGTTTGTCCTCAACGGAGCTAACCATAGCCTTGAATTCTTTTAACAGGCAGATGCTGAGAGCAAGAAATCTCATGATATGGATACCACCATGAGTATAACCAATGGCTCAAGGATCCAAGTCACTGAGTTCATTCTGTTGGGATTCCCAGGGATTCATGAGTGGCAGCACTGGCTCTCTCTGCCACTGACTTTGTTCTACCTCTTAGCACTAGGTGCCAATATTCTCATCTTGATCACCATCCACCATGAGCCTACTCTGCACCAACCCATGTATCAATTCCTCAGTGTCTTGGCTATAGTGGACATTGGCCTGTCTACCACCATCATTCCCAAGATCCTGGCCATCTTCTGGTTAGATGCCAAATCCATAAGCCTCCCTGAATGCTTCACTCAGATCTATGCCATCCATGTTTTTATAACCATGGAGTCAGGCATCTTCCTTTGCATGGCTGTGGATAGATATGTAGCCATTTGTTATCCTCTGCAGTACCCCTCTGTAGTTACTGAAGCTTTTGTGATCAAAGCGATAACATCAGTTGTGCTCAGAAATTGTCTGTTGACCATTCCAGTACCTGTACTGGCTTCCCAGAGACACTACTGCTCCAGGAATGAGATTGAACACTGCCTCTGCTCTAATTTAGGAGTTACTAGTTTGGCCTGTGATGACATCACTATTAACAGGTTCTACCAGTTGGCCTTGGCCTGGGTGATGGTTGGAGGTGACATGTGTCTGGTCTTTGCTTCCTATGCTTTGATTCTTCGTTCAGTGCTGAGCCTGAACTCTGCTGAGGCAACATCAAAGGCCCTGAGTACTTGCAGCTCACACCTCATCCTCATCCTCTTTTTCTATACAGCCATTGTTGTAGTGTCTGTCACACATCTGGCAGGGAGAAAGATTCCTCTCATTCCTGTTCTCCTCAATGTGCTGCACAATGTCATCCCCCCAGCCCTTAACCCCATGGTGTATGCCCTTAGAACCCAAGAGCTCAGAGTGGGCTTCAAGAAGGTGATTGGTTTGAGTGTTGATATATCCAGGAAGTGACCCAACTTTAAATGCCAGAATATTAGATATAGTATGTCACAGGCTTTGTAGCCTAACTATCCTCAGTTGGATTCTTATCTTTCTTAATTGTTATTAACATTGATTCAACTAAACTAACTTATTTTACATAGCATATACTATGTGCAAGGCACTGTTCTTACTTAGCATTTCACAAATACTAACTCATTTAATAACCGTAACAACCCTATGAAGCAAGTACAATTACTATTTTTACACTTTACATTTTAGAGCTCAATCCAATGAGTTAAGATATTTGCCCAGGGTCAAAATGCAAGGAAGCTAGGCAGCCAGACTCTATAGTTCCTTTCTCTTAACCCTCTCTAGTTAACCTCAGCACTAATGGAAACAATAAAAGTGACAAAATAGCTGTTTAAGTGAAATCATATATTATTTCTCTTTTGATTAAAATAAAATTCCATTTAAAAGTTGATAACAATTACCTAACAGTAAAGACATCAGTTTTTAAATTCTCTGGATTCATTCACTCTACAGGACTCTTTTAGTTATGCAAGTATAAGCCAGGAATTTAACAAAAATTATGTTGTCACCAATGTAAAAATATCTGTTTTTTTTTAACTTCATTCTTTGTTGTTGTTAAGACTCATTGAGTTTGTTCCAACTAAACTCAGAGCAACATTGTATAGGGTTTCTAAGGAGTAGCTGGTAGGTTTATGCCACTGACCTTATAGTTAGCAGTCCAGCACTACCCGGACTCCATACTTCATGGACTTACTAGTTTTTTAAATATTTTATTTTGAATTGGGTGAAGGTTTACAGCAAATTAGTTTTCAATTCAATAATTCGTAAACATTTTGTATTACGTCATTGACTGCAATCCCCACAATGGAATATCATGGATGCCATATCCTTCCCACGTTTCCTATTCCCATTTCTCCTTCTTGAATTCTCCTTCCTGTATTATAAATTTGGTTCTTCTGAAACCACTGCTCTTTGGGTCTCAAATGGTTGATTATTCTAAGTTGTGAGTACCTCCCTAGTTTTAGTGTTCACTTGTCTCTTGTTTGGCTAAAATTGAACTCCAGTGATAAGTTCTGTTCCAGGCCTGAAGAGTAACTAAGGGCCATCATCGTGGGGGTTCCACCCATGTTTATCTAACCAGGAAGCCTGGTTTGGGGGTTTTCTTTTTTTTTTTTCTTGATTTTGAGGCTTTTTCCCATATTTTCCCCCCACACTATGCAAGACTGTCTAATGCGATCCCTTTCAGATCTGTGAGTAGTGGTAAAGTCTAATAACATTTGGATGGGAGCTTTGCTTTTGTTTTGTTTTAAACCATCGATAATTGGCATCTGCTGTTCTGCTTCTTAAAAAAACAGTCATCACTGGCTACCATGACTCATCAACATCAAAGTATGGTTCCTAAGGTTTGATGCCTCTCATTCACCCACGACAATTTAAACCAACTGAGCAACAATAAAAATGAACCTCAAACACTAAACAAATCTCTCTAAACTTTCTAGGTTAAAGATTGCCGGGGCTACATGTAGGGGAGGAAAAGCACCAAACCAAAAAAGTATAGTTTAATTTTCTTTATTAATATGCTCAGTGAATGAACAAACTGTCAACAGTTTCTTCAATCAACCCTCCCCCAAAATTACAGATCCCCCTGAAAACATAGGACATTTCCAACTAGAATTATCACATGGCTGAAAGCTATGTCCAGAGACAAGAAGAAAGATACTGACCTCTAGATGTTCTCCTAAATTCACCAATAATATGAAGACATCCTTCTTCCCTGGAGATAACTGGAAACATTAGGAAGGGAAAAAATTGTGCCTCCCTAAACTAATTAGTAAGCCAAGTTCCTATCAATGAGGATGTGTCTAGCTAAGTATAAGAGACACTGGTAGCACTGAAGGATAAGCATCAGACTGCTAACTATGAGGTCAACAGTTCAAACCCGCTAGACACTTCTCAGGAGAAAAATGAGCTGTATTTTCCAGAAAGATTTACAGCCTTGGAAACAATATACACAGCAACTATGAGTCATAATCTACTAAATGGCATTGAGTTTGGTTTTTGTCTTTGGAAGAGACACTAGATCATGGTGGCTTAACCAAACTGAAGTTTATTTACATTAAGCTGGGGCAGGGGGAAGTATCAGAATCAGGCAATTCAGAATCGTTAATTGCTCTCAAGTCTATTCTGATACATGACAACCCCATGTGAACAGAGTAGAACTTCACAGGTTCTCAAGGATGTGCTCTTTCAGTGGCAGGTGGGTATGCCTGCCTTCTAAAGCACCTCTGGATGACTTAGAACCTCCAATCTTTAGTTAGTAGTAGAAGATTGAACTGTTCCACCAACCATGAACCCAATTATGCCTGCTCAATTATGCCATCAAGGAATCAGGCTCCCTCGGTATTACCTCCCTGTCATCCTAAACTATGGCTAAAAGTTCCATGTTCAACTCTATATTCCAAAGAAGACTATGGAAGAAATGCAACATAAAGCCTCAATAAATTTTTGCTCACATTTGAGTGGTTGAAAATGAGTTGGATGCCCAGCTATAGCTGAAAGGAAGACCCAAAAGCTGAATTTGTTGTTGTTGTGAAGTGCCATCGAGTCAGTTCCAACCCATAGCAACTCTGTATAGGGATTCTGAGGAGCAGCTGCTGAGTTTGAACCGCCAACCTTGCAGTTCAAATGGCTTTGCAGTCTGGTGCATTAACCCACAGCACCACACCAAAATCTTCTATTTAGGCTTAAATGGAGTCCTGGTGTGGCACTGTGGGATAAGCACTGGACCACAAGGTCAGTTTGAACTGCAGAATCTGCTAATCAAATTCACCAGCTGCTCCTCAGAAACCCAACAAAGGTCTCTAAGAGTCAGAACTGACTCAACGGCACTTAACAACAACAAGCCTCTACCGTAGAGGAGAGCCATGTATAGGTGGGTTTGAATGGATGTTAAATCAATGAGCTCCGAGCAAAACCAGAAAATATATATTGTTTTTAATTATCAATGCAATATTTTGCAAACATTGATAAGACATTGGAGAAAATCACAATAAAATAAAAAAGGAAATAAATTCTAAAGGTTTCAAAACAATAATACAGACAGAGCACTTACTGTAGGCTCCTCCTTTCACTCCTAATTCCAATACTGAAAAGAAATTCAATAATAAATTAATGTGATACAGTGTAGTGGTTGTGTTCTTTCAATTTTTAAAAATGTCTACTGTTTATATGCATTTTGTGTGTTGCTGATGAACTTTCTGAGTGCTAGGACCTTAGTTCCACATTCCCAAAAACCCTGTGGCTTTTCTTGTGTGGTTTGCATGCCATGGTTACTTTTAAACACATATATTCCCCATTATAACATAATTAACTCTACTGAGAGTGAGTGGAGAGGAAAGCAAGTCTAGACAATAGGGAGAACAAACTTTCTTTCAACAATTCAAACACAGAGTACAGTCCATCTGCCCCAACTCTTAAGATTAAGTCTGAGTAAGATTTTTCCAGAGCCCTGGTGTGGCGCTATGTGTTTGTGAGCCAAACTGCAAAGCCGTTTGAACTGCAAGGTCAGTGGTTCAAGCTCACTAGCTGCTCCTCGGAAACCCTACACAGGTTCGCTATGGGTCAGAATCAACTCAACAGCACTTAACAAACAACAAGGCTTTTCCCCAGGAGTGAGCAAGATAACCCTCCTAAGTCACTAGGGTCAACTTCCAACTAGGGCCAAGTTCCAGCTGAAGTGGTTATGAGTCAGGCTGCTCGAGGTCAGCAGTTCGAAATTACCAGAGTTTCTGCAGGAGAAAGATGAGGCTTTCCACTCCCGGAAGTATTTACAGGCTCGGAAACACTCTATAGGGTCGCTGTGCATCAGAAACAACTCCACGGCACACAACCACCACGGCACATAACCACTACTCAGTTGGATAAAACTGAGAAATGCCATTGGATAGACCTACAGAGGATCAGTTCCAGACCAGATTATTTCAAGGCTCTGATTTATATCAAAACTTTAGGAAGGCAGAGAGGACCAAGAGCTGGCGGCCAGGAGGCAGACTTGCAGAATGTGATCTTTGGTGGTGTAAGCTATTATATATGCCTGAGTGTTAAAAAAAAAAAAAAAAAAAAAAAGCTAAAGAGAATAGAGAGAAATACTTGTATCTGATAGTATGTGGAAGGGATTATAATTATTGTAATGAAATATGGTGTATGATTTGTTGAATGTAAAACTGATGATCTGTCCTGTAAACTTTCACTCAATTCACAATAAATAATTTTTTTAAAATAAAAACCTTTAGGAAGGAAAGGATGAAATAAAAAGCCAATTTGAGCAACAAAAGACCAAACATAGGCAGCAACAGCAAATGAGAGTAAGGCGCCCAAAAGACAGCAGTTTCAGAGTAAAATCAGCAGATTAAATGGACACTGGGAAGGAAGGTAATGGAGGTGGTCCATGTCCCAGGGATTTTGTCCTGGTCTATCTCACTCTATCCTTGGATTTTCCAACTTGCCTTTGTTTTCTTAAACCTTGCTTCCTACTCTACACCTGTGTAGTGACTAAGAACTGTACCTACAGAAGGGGGTCAAAGAAATGAGACTGAATTCTGATTCAGTCATGTTGGAGAACATGAGATGCTACAGTCAGAAGAACAGACAGAAACAATTCCACGACTCTCACATTAGCAGGCACACAAGAGGCTCTCAGAAAAATTTGGTGGGAACCACCCAGTTATATGGTGCTAGAATAATAATTAAATTTCTAAATCAAAGGAGGACATTATAAAGCATGAGGTTTGATAACTGATAACAATTAGGAAAGTGGTGACTACATGGCAAAATAACAAAAATCAGCAGTTTTACTATATAGTAAGAACAATTAACTTGAAAATAAACTCCAGAAAAAAATTCCACTCAATTTCAAAGATAGTAAAAAGTTTAGTGTAAAGAATGCTTTTTGTGATTGATCTAAAAGTAAAAATTAGGAAAGAGGTCAAACTGCTTAATGA